AAGCCTAAATGATCAGCAGAGCAACTTTCTCAGCATACCCTTATGCAGGTAAAGTATTGGTAGCCTCTGGCAAGGGAAATTCAACAAAAGCACATAGTAAAATCTGATGGTGAAAAGAATCTGCTCACTGCTTGAACATGATTGATTTGTGGATAATCTAAGTTCTGGAAAATTTTGCTGATGTGACATAATTATAAAGCTGCCCAACTTGGAATGTGTATAGCTTTGCCTATAGCATTTCCTCTATGTTATTTAAACAAATAGTTGTTTGAAAGTAATTCCCAACATCTACTGCTCTTCTAGGCTGATCAACTCCAAAATGGTACCTCAAAATCTGTGCCAACTTTGCAAATGTTTGTTTCTGAGTAAGTTGAAACTGAACTCAGTAAATGTGGCTGGTTTGGCCAGAAGGATCCATTCTTCATCACAAAAGCTTTCTGACTCTGAGTCACAGGAACAAACTGTCCAGAAATGTGAATCTGAAGAGCTGCCTCAAAATACAGAGAACAGTGATTCTGGAAGATTGCACGTACCAGTGATGCTGGAGGAGGTTGTTAATTGTTTATCCCCTCAGCCTGGTCAGGTGAGTTAAATGATTAATTGACATCTCTGATCCATTAACTGTGCAGCAGAAAAATTCATGGAGTGTGGACTTTTGTTTAGAGGAATAAAGGGATGCTCTTAAACAATCAGCTGTATCTTTCACAGCTTCTTAATTGTTTTGAAGTTCACATTAAAACTGTGTATTCAAACTAATAAAATTCTGGTGTCTGTGTGCCTGAATCCCCAGGTAGGTGGTGTTTATTAAATCTGTCATATTTGACTCTTCTGTTGCTTTTGTGCTTGTCTTTCTGAGTTGCACTTATGTGTTCTTAAGGTTATGTAAATGACTCAGAGGAGAGTTCTCATGTGTGGTTATCTCATCAGTTTTTGAAGAGCCCTCTTCCTCTTGGATAAGAGGTTGTAAGTATGTAAAAATTGTTTAGCCTCATTGGCATGGAGAACCTGTTTCAAGCCTTCTGGTTTGGGTATGGTACTGTGAGTGCTTTGCTTTTGGTGTCTGGGGTAGTAAATGGTTACACCTGAAAAAAATTGAAAAAAAAAAATTATACCCAGGGAAATGTTTTTGTTTGGGTGGTCTTAGTATTGGTTTGAAAGGATTTCTTGAATAATGTAAATTCTTAAATAACCTTTACATTTCAGGTACTTTGATCTGTGATTTTAGTGCTTATCTTAGTTTCATAGAACCTTACTAGTTTTGGGTTATCAATGTTTACTGGTGGAACAAACTGTCCAGAAATGTGAAACTGAAGAGCTGCCTGAAGTTTACTGCCTTCACAGTTATCAGTTTTGCTACAAAGAGTGGAACAATAGGCACAGAAGTAGAAAGGTCCAAGTGTGCATATTTTTTTGGGGAACAGCATGGTCCAACAGTGGCAAAGCGATACAGCAAGTTTGAGGTGGATTCAGTGATCAAAAATTTGGAGTCAAATCTTGTTGTATTGCCTTGTGTATCAATTTAAGTCTTTGAAGAAGCACTGAAAATGCAAATAGTGTTGATACACATTAGCATGCAAATTGCTCTAATTGCATGTGTTCTGCTGTTGAAGACACCTAAATTAGAGAAATATGTAAGGAATTTGGAGTTCAGATTTCATTGTGATGTCAGAACTGTGATGACATTTTCACACATTAAATGAACACATAAACTGTGATACACTGTGTGAAATATTTTTTCCAGTTGTGTAAATTTTTACTTTGATAAGAAGAGCCTGATGAAGTCAGTATCCATTAGACTGTCTTTGTTGATGTAGAAAAACTTACTTGGCAACAGAACTTGTAAAAGAAACTCTCCAAGGTTATGAACTGTGGAGAATAACTATTACTGTCCCTCAAGACTTTTTCTGATTTAAATATTTATGGTTGTAAAATAGCTTAATATGGGGTGGGATTTTTTCAGGTCTGTGTGTACAGGTTTTTCAGACTCCTAAACTGGTAGTGAGCTACTTATGACTGCTATAAGAGAGCCCAAGTGTGTTTACCTCAAACACAACCATTTGTAATGCTGCCAACCTGTTCAGCAGGACTGCAATTGCAAACTGTGCAGCACTTCTGGTTTTCTTTTTCTGCATGTATTCACAGCACTTTCTGAAGCCTCAAAAAATAAGCAGTGTGCAAAAGGATGCAATGTGTCAGCTGAGTTTTGCTAGTGTCACAGGTTGAGACAGTTCCTCACTAACCCTAGTGGTGGTAATCACTTTGTGCTAACATGCATGTCAACTGGGAGGGTCACAGAAATTTATATTTTTAAGATTATAGTCATGACAGGAAGTCTATGAACTCTTTGTTTTGTGGGCAGGAAAGGCAGTGCTCTGATCTGGAATTCAGTTTTTCTGCTTTATTCTCTCCTCACACATAAAGATTTCCTTTGCTCAGCTTTAATAGAGTTATATTCTTTGTTATAAAATAGCTGGTTTGGGCCTCTCGTTCTTGTGTCTTAAGACAAGGAGGTACCAATATAAAAAAATCTAATTAGAAAGATGATGTTCTCTCTATAGTTATGGTCACTGAATGGGATTTTCATTTCACTTCCAGAGGTTCTTAGGAAAGGAAATGTTACTTAAGTGTGAGTCACCACTGAGATAAAGATGTTAGTGCCCTCCCACTGAATATTCTTGTTGACTGTCTCCTTTGGGGAATCTGTGTGTCAGGAGTTGGAGCAATAATACTTCCATTTATCTTTGAATCCTCTTTTATTGCCTTGTTTCACCAAGTCCCTGTAGTAGTCCTGTCTTTGAAGCAAGGACTACCAATTAGATTTTACCAATCCACCTCACTGCTCAATGAAAAGTCTGTTGCACTCAGTCCACACATAAGTAATTTCCTCTTTAGGTGTACTGTATTGATTACACTACATTTCCATCTTCTCAGTCCATGGGTGTTGTTTGCAGGTACCTGACCAGTGGTTTTGCAGTAGTCTGGACCATTCTCTGTTCTCTTAAAGAACCAAACCTATTTTGAATCAATGTTTGGACATCCAGAAGCATGTTTCCCCAGTTTTCAACCTACTTTTTCCTATTTTTTTTCCTTTGCAATACCCATACTTATTTTAACTAGAGATGTCGATCTTTTCCACATACTGTGGCTGTAATGTTAAGTAAAATAACTTCAATCGTAATAAGTTCTAGTATGAATGCCAGAGGATGAAACTCTGAAATTTTAACTGTTCTTATGAGAATCTTAAGGATGTTTGAGCTGCAAAGCTCTAGGAAATGATATTGCTCCAGCACCAACAAATACTTCTATATATAAACTTTAAACTCCAGCTAGAAGAGAAGCAAATATTATACCCTATTCTGATTATATGGGGAAGCCTGTAACCTGATGACATCTATGGTTTGATGTGATTGATTTTATCCATGGTTGAGTATGATCTAGAAGAGACTATAATGGAGATACTATAAGTTCTGCTAGTATGATTTGCTTTATGACAGTTCTAGAAACTGGGCCTTTTTAGTATCTGTAAATTAAATGGTAGGTGGTCAAACTTGAGGTGAGAAATAATGAATGAGACCTTTCCATTTCCTCCAGTGTTTGAGTGGTTAAGCCATTAATAGTAGATGATTTTTTTTACTTCATGATGTTAATTTGTATTAAAAAAAAAACAAGAAGGCAGATAATTTTCCACAAAGAGATCTCATCTGACATCATCTTGAGTTAGCCAGGACTTACTGAGGTATTTCCCTTTTGATTCTCCATGATGTTATTCAGATTATTTTTGCTACTTGACATTCATTGAAGGAGGTATCCTGTTTGTCTTGGAAATCATGTGTTGGTCCCTGTGTTATTATTTTATTTTCTTGGAAATCATGTGTTAGTCCCTGTGTTATTATTTTATTTTCTTGGAAATCATGTGTTGGTCCCTGTGTTGTTATTTTATTTTCTTGGAAATCATGTGTGTGTCCCTGTGTTAGCCCCTGTGTTATTATTTTTTCTTTGTCTTGGAAATCATGTGTTGGTTTCCAGAAAGAGACAAGTGTTTCCTGAGAACATGCAGCTTTGCCATGAGCTCTCCTTTCACTCTTTCAGGTACATACTGCTTTGTTTGCAGCATAGTTACTATTTTCATACATCCAAACATCAAATTATTCTCTTTTCAGGAGTCTGAGCATGGACTTGTAAAATAACAGGAAGGAAGTGTAAGACACTGCTGCCAGCCAGACATGGTTTTGTTGTGAGTGAGGTTCTGCTGGAGCTCTGGGGTTCAGGTTTGAAGGCAGCTTTGCACCTCCTGGAGGTTCTTTTGCTACTCTCAGGTTTTGATCTGGAGCATGGTTGTTTCCTTCCTTTTCTGCAGAGCTAATCAGGCAATAGAACACACCTGAAGGAAGCTGAGGGACACTGCTGCTGGGAGAAAGCAGAGTCACTTCTGGAATTGTTCTCTTACTTTCTGTGTATTGTCCATACATCAGTATTCCCTCTCTGCCTTGTGCCAGGTGTAAGTGGAAGGCAGAACTAACCTTTCTCTGTGCAGCACCCTGCAGAGGGGACTCCTGTTCTGTGGCAAAGCTTTCCAAGTGTTGTGCTGTATAAATAGTTACATTGTGGTGCTGGTGACCAGGCTTCTCACAGCACCTCCCATGCCATCTGCAAGTCACTTCTAACTGGAGTGAGCCATTTATGCTAGAGGTGCTCAAAACTGAACTTTTCTGCTGGGTGCCCAAAGTAAAGAGGAATTGAAAAGGGGTCTGGAAAAATTAATTCTGACTTCTCAAGTTGTATGAGTGCTTGCTAAAATGCAGCCAAAATATCAAGTTTGGAAGGGAATATTAGTTGCATCATGAGGTAAATGATTAAATACTTGTTTTGGAAAAGCACTACAGACACGTGGATGTAGTAAAAGTTTTTATTGTTTTAGCCTGTTTTTCACTGGACTTGTAAAATGAATAAGGTGACATAAAGCAGCCAAATTGCATAATGTTCTTTATTGTAGAAACCACTATTTTTTATGGGAAGCATGCTGAAGATATCTTTCCATACACAATTTTTTTTTGGCTAATTTTTCTCTGTCAGCAGCACAGTGAGCCTTGTAGTGATTGTTGTAAAAAAGAAAGTAAGAGAAACTTGCGAGTCAATAAATTAACATAGAGTAATTCTGAAAATACTCTGGGAATTCCAGAACACACTTTTTTCCCACGGTACTTGGGTGTTACTGGGGTGTATTGAGAGTTGTTTCAGTTGATCATGGAGTTCCTGTGTATTTTTTTCTGTCACTCTTACCTTGCCTGATGTCCTGGCTGCACATACTGTAAATTTACAGAAGTGGCTAGCCAGACTTCAGATCACAGCCGTGTGTGGAAGTGTGTAATAAAATGTCCATGCAATAGAATGTGTATCTATGCAAAATATCTTTATTTTTGGATGTGTCTACTTAGAAGCAAGTTAAATGGATTCTCATCAGATAGCACTGTTTAAAATACTTGGCTAAAATCATACTTAAAGAGGGATGATTTTAGTGAAGTTAGCATTTGAAGTTAGTGCATGAAATTGGAAAACATTCTCAAAATAGTTTTGACTAAGATG